CTTCCTGACACAAAGGCATCACCTCCTTCTTTCTTGCCTAGCAGGGAGGGGAGTAAAGGCACCAGGGGGTCTCCCCTCAAGGACTTGGCAGCCTCTGGCTCCCAGGGATGCTGCCAACACTGCTATTGGGTCTCTCACCAAACTTGCACAAACCTTCACCATCTCCTCCTGCCAAAGCTTTGCGCCACTCTCAGAAGGGATTGCAGTGCTGGATAAACCTGGTGCAAAGCACTGCCAGGCTTCTGCCAGCTTGGATGGAAAGCTGCAGACTCAGCTCAAGTGAGAAGGAGTCTTCTTCTCATCTCTTTCCATTTTTGAGTCTCTTTAGTCAGGAATCTTCCAAGTAGGAAAGGATAGAAGGGTTGGTTAGCAAGGGTCTGCCCTGCCCTGCTCAGTGTGACACTTCCCAGGACTTGAGCAGCCCTCACTGTGTTCATGTCCTGAGCGGGGAGAGCTCTGCTGGAGCTCTTCCAGTGCTGCTGAGAACGAGGGGATTTTCTCTCTCCAGATGCAGATAGCTTGGGCTTTGGAAAGAGAAAAGTCCATGTTCAGCCCCTGCACATGCAGCAGCTCCGGCTGGGTTGTGCAAGCCTGAGTCTGCTGCGCTTATACATGACCACACTGAGAAGTGCATGTGACAGATGACAGCACTGGCAGAACTTCATTTAATTATCACTGTTATTGTTGTTCCTATAAGCAATTAAATGATTTGGTTTTTAAAACAAACCTGTGTTTCAAAACAAGCATAGGGGGTGGGGGGGGGGGGGGGGGGGGGGTGTCAGTTTGGCAAAGGATGTTCAGTTGATTGTAAGGCATCCTGTCTGGAGCAGAGATAATGGAGTGCCTGGATGGTTGCTCAATGATGATGGATTGGTGGGGAATTGCTCCTGGACCCCGTGAGCAGCCCTCTGGGGCCTGACAAGGCTTGTGCTCCGCTCTCCTGAGGGTTGTCTTGCACAAGGGCTGGGGCAGGGATGTTGTAAAGAGCAGGTGGGTCAGCCCTGAGAGCCACACCTCGCGTGGGGTGCCATCCGTCTTCACTGTCACCGCTGCTGCTTTTTGGTTGCCTGGAGCCCTTGAGCTGCGTGGTGGAGAAACACAGATATTTACAGCTCTGCAGATGTGCACAGGAGCAGTGCACGGCTCCCGCTAGGCTGCGCAGCAGCAATGGAGACGGATGCTTTCATTTGGCACTGTTAAGCTCATCCGGCTTTAGCACGTCTCCCGCTGCTGATTTTATATCTTCCAGACCATGGTTTGCTAAACAGCTTCCAAACCAAGCGGAGGCTGCAATCCCTGCCCTGTGGAGCTGTGAATGTTAGGAATTATCCAACTGCTCAGTGTTAGCAAGGCTCCCAAGTCACTTCCCTGTGCCTTTATACCTGGCAGCAAGAATTGCTGCTCCATATCCAGCATGTCCACCTGCCCCAGACCCTTCTGGATGTGGGCAGTGAGATGGAATGGGGCAGTGGGCAGCCAGAATACCTGAGTTCCTCTCTTGGCTCATCCAGTGTGAGAACTGGGATGAGTCCTTCATCTCCATCCACCCCAGGGCTCTGATTCATATGTGCTGAGCACACAGCAGTGGGTCTGTGGGATGCCTGTGCACCCTCCTCACCGTCCACCAGCAGTCACAGCTCTGCAATGAGCACATGGAGGCACGTGCCCCTGAGCCACAGCTTCTCCTGATGAATTGCTTAAAGCCTCCCACAGCAGTGCAGATGGAAGCCTCCATGTGAGCTGCCCTGCTTTAAGCCCCCCTGCTTGCACTGCCAGCTCATGGCTGTCCCACTCTGTGGGGGATGGCAAAAACACAAAGCCCAGCATGCTATGTCCTGTGTTGGAAACAAGGGGGAGAGGAGGCAGGAGCTCTTAGGTGGGAGGTAAGGACCCATGGGGGTTGTCTCCGTGTAGCTCTCTTGTAAACTTCGACCCCATGCTCTCCACCTCCAGCCCACCCCACATCCCTGCTGCCCCCAGGCAGGAGAATGCAGCCATTAGGAGGAGATGGGACAGAGGACTCAGCAGGAAATCAGCCCCTCTCCCTGTGACCTGAACACTGCTGACTGATGAATCAGGGAAGATGCAGATTCCTGACATCCTGCCATTACTTATTCATCGTGTGGTACAGGATACATCAGTGATGCTCGTGCAAAGGATGCCAGAGATTTGGGGGTGGGAAAACAAATTATTTTTGAAGGTGGCTGCATGAGGCAGGCATCGTGTGTCCAGGCAATGCCTTATTCTCAAATCCCCTCTCTGCTTCTCTCTCTGCATCTCACTGTGAGCCCATGGTACCCTGGGTACCTTCAGCACACCAAATGCTGTGATCCATTCAGAGGCTGTAAGTGCATAAGAAGCAAATTTCACCCCAAGTTTCTCCAGCACAGCAGTGAAGACATCCAGGGACAGGAGCAGCCTGCTGGTCTCTGAGCTCCTGCTTTGAGTTGCAGTGTCTGTCCTAGAAAGAAGCTTTGTCTTAGTGGCATGCAACGTGGCTCAACCATGCTGCAGATAAATGCTGCAGTAATTAACTAGCATTACATTTCAAAATCCATGTGAATTTGCAGAATTCTTGTAAGCCCTGGCATCTCTGGGAAGTGTTGCATGGCTCAGGTCTCCCTTTTTATAGAAGTATGAGAAGAAATAATTACACTTACCAAAGAGTTTCAGGGTAAATTCAGCCTGGGCAGCCTGGAAATGTCACAGCAGAGCAGGGGTGTGAGCCTGAGTCTCAGAGACTGCATGCACAAGCACAGAGATAGGGAGAGGGACTGAAAGAGGTATGGGGATGGGGACAGGGATGGGATGGGGGCAGGGACAAAGGAAAGGGACAGAGACAGAGACACAGGCAGGAACACCTCAGGTCTTGGTCAGACCCTGCCTGGTGATGCTGAACCTGATGCCTCCCCTTCTCCATCAAGACAAGCTGGTCAAATAATGAGCTTTTATCCTTAAGAAAGCGATGTAGTTCTTCTTCTCCCAACCCTACATGAAGGAAAATGGTGTTGGTCTTTGGGAAAGGTACAAACACTGCCAGTTTTCATGATACCCTGAGTGGGATTGAGGAGGAAAATGTTTGCAAAGCAGTCACATAGAGGTGTCCCATCCAGCCAATTCTTTCACTAAATAACAAAATGTACAGCTAGAAGAAGTGTGGTTTATCTTTGGTAATAGGTGGCAGCCATTGGGGGAAAGTTGAAAAGTGGCTTGAATTTAATCTCTGGAAATGAATGCAGTTTGCTGCATGGTTTTTTATGGGGCAATGAAAATGGTTATACTGTTTATTAAGCAGCAATCCAAAGGAGGCTGTGCAGATCCGTTCCTCCCTTAGGAAAACCAGGGCTGGGAGCACAGTGTGTGCGCCTGCGCAGGTAACCCGCCTAGGGGCAGGCGGATGATTTCAGGCTGCATTTCTACCTGCTCTTCCAACCCTTCCAGCTCACGCTTCCCTGCCCTCCCTCTCTGCCCCTGCCCATTTGGGAGCACAGATATAAACCCTCCAGCCAATATGTTTCCTATGGGGGACAGTGAGCTTTGCCTGGAGGGTGCTCATGGCTCTCACCTCATCCCAAAGCTGTCCTTAAAGACGGAGCGAGGCAGTTCACTGCCTGCAACCACAGAAGCTCCAGAAGCTGGGCAAGTTGTTCTCCTGACGATTCACCTCTCCCACAGGTAAGTACTGCTGGGATGAGCAGCAAGTGCTGCTTTTCTATTCCTTTCTGCTTCTCCTGTGCATGTCTCCAGCATCCCCTCGCCTCTTCTTGACTCAGCGAGGAGATGGCATTTACCCTCCTGGATCTGCTTCTTTGCTCAATTGGAGATGGGTTTTACCCTCCTGGGTCTACTTCTTTTCCTATGCAACCACTTGCGTTGCTGTAAGCACGTGATGCACAACACCAGGGAGCAGCAACTCATCCCTGTGGTGCATATGAGCCCATGGAAACCCAACATTGCAGAGCCAGGGCACAGCCCAACCCACCTGCATCTCCTTTCTGCTGCTTTTATTGATGCAGTCTCACCTGCTTGGGAGGAATCAGCCTGGATTAAAGAAAGGATGTCATTAATTTGTAATTGGAAGGGAGCAGTGGAGGTTTATCCACAAGTCAGTTTGCCTGATAGAGGCAGGGGGCTGCAGACGAGCTTGTGGCCATGTTGCATTTGCAGGCTTTCTGCATTTGAACTTCTTGGGAAGAGAGGCAGAGGAAACTGGTTGCTTCTCAGCCTTGCACACCTACGGCCACTGCTGAGCTCAGCGGCGTTCCTCAGCTGCTTTAAGCAGCTTCTCCATAATAACATAACTAACCAAGGAGCGATTGTAAGATAAACTTCCCTTCCTTGTGCTAGACCCAAAGCTGAGAGGGATTTAAAGGGAACGCTGCTTTCCACTCATTTCTTCCTGTGCCTTGGGCATGCACAGTGCCAAAGAGCCACAGCAGCCCCAGGAGCTCCAGCGTCCCCAGCACTCAGCCCCGGGGTCTGAATGGTGTTCCCAAACCTCCAGGTTTGGCACCCGTCTCTGTCAGCCTCCAGAATAGCTCCAAAGCCTCAAGGATTTGTGAACAAGGAACTTGATGGGAACATTGATTTTTTCCAAAGGCTGAGAAATGATGTGCAGATGGTGGGTAGGAAAGTCTTCAGCACGGGGAAAAGAAATGAAGAGGAAAAGTTGGATTTTGGTTAGAATCCTGCTCGGAAATGCAATTCCTCCTCCGTCAGAGGCCAGGCTGAGGATAAGAGGTGTGAAGCTTGGATGCCTTTCACTGGGCTGATTGCATTCAAAGTGGAATCACTGCCGGCAAAGGGACACAATCCCAGGCCTTTGCTCCGTGCCTCAGGATTCTAGGAACATCCCAAGTCTGAACTGGTGCTTGCACTGAGCTCCAGCCCTGGGGTGAATGCTGCAAAACGATGAGAAAGGACGGAGCCAATGAGCAATAAACCCTGCAGATCTCCACTCCCAAAAGGTAGCGCACAGCCCATGAGGTGTGGGGAAGTCCTCTTGGCAGCAAGATCTGAGTCATAAAGAAAGTGAAGCAAAGGCAGAAGGCAGGGTGACAAGGGCAGGGCTGGGACATGGAGCAGCAGTGACCCCCGAAGAGGGATGTCAGTGCTATGGATGTAGCGACGGTGACCATTCCAAGCTCAGAGCTCAAGGATATTTCCTAGGGTCGTTTGTGACTTCTGATTGCGGGGAGAGAGCAGGAAATGTCTGCAATGCAATGCGTGCTGGGAAGAGGATGAGTCTTTCATAGCAGGGTAAGGATGCTGTGCAACATGAGCGGGTGCCGGTGTGCAAGGGGCCGGTGGGCAGCACACTTCTCCCCATTCCGTTTGTGCACACAGGTGCATGACTAACCCACTCCTCTCCTTCTGCCCAGGCAACCCAACGATGCCGAGTATATTCTCCTACCTGAGCTCTGAAATTGACTGGTGTGAAAACAACTTTGTGCGCTCGCCGATCATCGCAGAGTACTACAACACGGTGAGTGTGGGGCATCCCGAGGGCAGAGCTGCCTTTGGGATACGGGATGGGATGGGTCAGCCACGTTTGCTCTCCTGCTCTGAGCTTCCTGCTGTTAGAGGGTGTTTAATTGGGGAGCTGTATGTAAATCCTGCGGGTTTGCTGCCCATAAGCAGAGCTGGGGTCTGGGATTCTCCGGGCACACATGGGGCTGAGTTCCCACTGAGCAAAGTCTGGCAGTGCTCCTTAGCCCAGATTGGTGAGATCCTGTTATACCAGTCCTGCAGCTTGCCTGCCAACTGGGGTAAGTCCCACACAGGGCTCGTATATTCCAGCTAAATGTACAGGAGTGGCAGAATGAGAGACAGCGCTTGCATGAACCGCGTCGGGCAGGTTGGGAATCTGGAACTCTGGGCAGAGGAAAGCTGATGTGGGAGTTTCACCTCCTGTGATCCCCTTTGTAATCAGGCTCCTTTCAGCACCAGTCCCACATGCACTGACATCCATCTGCAGGCACCCGCTGTCTGCGAGTGTGTCCCTCTGCCTCCATGCAATTAGTGCTGGCAGGAGCATGAGGCCATTTACAGCCTTCCAAAGGCCTTGTTTACAACCTTCAGCAGTTACCTTTGAACACTGGAAGTTCTTGTTTCTCATGGAAATGTCTCTTCCTTTTTTTTTTTTTCTTTTTTAAAAAGCATTTTCTGTTTCTAATAAATGACCTCTAATAACTATAATACCCTCTCCAGTCACACAGTTCCAATTGACCTGACAGGGTCATGCAGGAGGGATGCACGGGCTGTGTGCAGTCCCTTCTCTTTCAGGCACTGAAATAAGGACCTGCTGGTCCTGCTGCCCCCCAGTGCTCAGCACCTGGTCTGGTGTCTGCTGCCCCTGATGGATGAGTACAGGGTGCAGAGCAAAGGGGTGCAGAAGTCACTGATGCTCCCAGCAGCATTCTGAATGTCGCTGGAGGTGCCAAATGCCTCTGAGTTTGAGAACCTCATTGGCAAGACTGGAGAGGGGCTTAACTCCAAACAGATCAGAAAGTCTGAAAGTTGGACTTCTAAAATCAGAATTAATACTGGAAGAAACATTCGCCCAAGCTCTGAGGTCAGCACTCAGATAGCATTTTCCCAACGTGTCTTTGGAGCTGAGACCACATTTTTACAAGGACTGTGATTTATACCCCCTGTTGGAGTGGCTCAGGATCTCACCAAGAGGTACCTCAGGAGCTCAGTCCCATGTCTGAGCTCCCAGTGGCACACTGCCAGACCCCAGCTGCTATGGTCAGGTGCACAACCGTCCTCCTAACGTCCCAAAGTCCTCTGAACACCATAAAACATTAACTCTTAGATCTCTGCCTTTACAGCAGAGGAAAACACTCCCACAGTTTCTGGCTTGGGATACAATTCTTGTTTAGGGAATGGCCAAGATCAAGACTTGCCTTGCTGCCTGCAGCAGGACTGCTGTGTGGACTTCTCTCCAAAACATAGGAGGTAGAAGAGCAAACCCTGAGGAACCACTGCTGTCTGAGCAACTGACAACAGTCCCCAGAGCTGCACTGTGCTCAGAGCAGAACAGGGAATCCAAAGCCAGCAGGAGCATCACCTCCATGGCATCGCCCTCGGTCCATGCAGGCTGGCTCTTGGCCCTGCAGCACTGGGAAACACTCTGCTCAGAGCACCATCCTAGGTGTGATTCCAGAGTCCTGTGTCTCCCTCTCTTCTCCATTCCTTTGTTCCCCACGTTCAAATCTTCAGATCGCTTCCTCCCTGCTCAGGCTTTATGGACCTTGTCTCACTGCCCTGCCTGGAGACAATTATATCAGTATGGACTTCAGCACCGCTTTGTCAGAGTTTTAGACTAGCTGGGAACCCAGCCAGCTCCTACCCAATGCTCCTAAAGCAGCAGGGCTTCCTAATGGAGCATCCTTTCTGCATCTTCTTCCCAACACTGCCCATGGCTCCAGCTGGAAGCTCTGTGTCAGCAGCAACATACTGCTGAGCATCGCTCTGCAGCAGCCGCTCTCACTCTCATCCCTGCCTGGGTTGGATGCTTTTTATTAGGAATAAGCACCAGGGGTATGAGCAGAGAATGTAAACAATATCGTAAAGTCCCTAATAATTAATACATCGTGGCTCATGATTGCACTGCAATTCAGTGACAAAGCTCTAACTATTTATAGCGAGACTCGGTGACCCAGAAATTTATTGTCTTCTGGCTGTTTGCAGTTGAACAGTGTTGTGCTACATGAGGGTCATCAGTCAAGGACCTGTCATTCTGCTCCCCTTTTTTTTTTCCTTCCTGCAATAACCAATGAGGATGCTGGTAATGACATCCAGATCCTCAGCACTCTCTGGCTAAGCACCAGGAGCTCTCACACTGTCAGATAACCACAGCTCCATTGATAAGCCTGGAGATAAGCCTGGCTGCAGGTGTAAATCACCCACATATGCCAGATACTCATGCTGGAGCTCAGCAGCCCCATGGCAGTGGGGACACCTCACACTCTCCTCACCCTGCAGTTTGTGTGCAGCCACGCTGCTGCTTGCTGCCCCAAACACGGTGTGACACCACGATGCAGGATGGGCAGCCCCAGCTTCTGGCTGTTAGGAATTTGCTCTGCAAGTCCAGAGAGCCTTGGAGATACTTGCTTCTGTCTTGGGCTCTGCAGGCTCTGCTGTCTGTGAATGCCAGGTCTTTGGTCTTTAAGGGAGCGAATGCACTGCAGCAACACTTTGAGAAATCTCCTTCCACTGCAGAAAATCATACAATCAGAATTCCAGAGTGGTTGGGATGGAAGGCCCTTAAAGGTCATTCTGTCCAGCCCAGGCCACGGGCAGGGCCTTCTCACATCAGATCCATTCAGCCTGGCCTTGAGCACCTCCAGGGATGGGGCACCCCTACCTGCTCTATGGCAGCACACCCTTGGGTTGCCTCTGTCTCATTTCTGTGCTCACAGAGCACAACCAGCACCTGCTGTCCCAGTCCATCCCAGGAAGCCATTCTCACTCTGCTGGGCATGGAGAAGCGGATGGCCCTCTGCAGGGCTTTCCTTTCCTTTTAGGCTGCACAGTGTACATTGCACAAGCCCTGGGGCCTTTCCCATGATCCTGCTAATGCAGCAGGATTACAGGCATGTCACTGTTCCCAGCCTCACTTTTCTCCTAGAAAAACAAGCAGGGCTGGGACCTGACAGCTGTTGAAGACCCCCAGTTGTGGGTCCCTCGCGGCTCTGCCCCAAGCTCTGAGCCTGGCTGCTCTGCAGGGAATCACTGCAATCTGCTGGCACGGTTCTCCTGATCATCCCTCCCTGCTGATATCTGATCTTGCACTTCTCAGGCTGAATTAATGAAGTGATAATGTTGCTATCATGTAATTAATGGTGCTGTTGCAATGCCCACTGCAGCAGGGATCCGGACCTCCCTGTGTGCAATCTCAGACTCCCGCGTTTCCTCACTTGGACACACATGCTGGCACTTGCATACTGCTGTGTCTTCTGCAAGCATTTGCTCTCCTTGTGATCCCTGCCTGTTTTCCAAAACCCTCTTGAACCATTTCACAGGAAAAGAAATGCTTACAACGCAGTTGGTTACTTCAACACATAGTTTGGTTTCGTGATCATTTCCAAACTGTCTGACCTCAAGTGTGCATTGGAACCAGCACTTCCCTTCTCATTTTGGAACAGAGACAGGCCTGGATTTGGCTGTAAGCACACACAGAGAACCTATACATTTGCCCTAAGAATTGCTGTTTGTAGGCACATGGACTGGTTTCATGAAAACCACAGTGAAATTCAAGATTGATCTCTGTTTGTTGAAGGGAATTGAGGCCTTACATTAAATGTGAAGGGTTCTTCCCTCTGCAAGGTGAGGGGGTGTGCTTCAGGTCTATGACAACATCCCTGGGATTTGCAGCCCTCTTCCCCTAAACTCACATCCCTCTGTGCCATTGCAGTGTACCTGGTGCCCAGTGGGGATGCAGAGGGATGAGCCTGCAGCTTTGGGGTGACACTCCAGGCTGGGCTCTGGGACAGTGTCTGGCTGGAATATGAAAGGAGAATTGTCAGGGCGAGATAAAAGCTGTGCTGGTGGCTGGCCAAATAACAGCATGGCAGATGGCTGTGCTTGGCTCTTCCAAACCCACTGTACTGCCTGGCAGGTGGAACATTCCACCAGATCCTAACCTTTCGTGCGCAAGAGAGATTTTCCTCAGGGACACTGAGCTTCCTGGTGATACTCCATTTATTGTGTTTGCACACCAGGTGACAATGCCTCACTTGCAGAGGTGAGGGCTGCTTCAAACTCTCTTCCTCCCTTGCTGCAGGGTGGAAAGGGCCCAATCCAGCAGTCAGGTGCAGGCTCAGAGCACTCCCTGCTCCTTCTCAGCTCCCGTGTTCTGCCCATCAGCATCTGCTGCTTCTCAAAATGCTGGCACTGTCACCAGGTTGAATCCCCATGCATTTTCCTCCACCCCAGCTGCACCAAAGCCTGGCAATGCAGCAACTGTGCAGAGCTGGAAAACAGGGATGAATTATTTTGCTATGCATTCATTCACAAAGCATGTTCAGATAACTTTTATGACTTCATTTAATTACTGGCGTCCAGCCTACCTCCCTCCCCAAAGCAGGTGGCTTTGCATGTGACACCACAGGATGCCACCTCAGTCCAGCCCCACCTATGGGTGTCCTGCAGGTCCTGCTGCTGTCCATTGCACCTGGTTCACAGAAGCATACCCTGAGCTTGCTGTCCTCACAGAGAGCACAGCCCAGCTGCTATCACATAAGAGCCATCCTTCCAGCCCCAGCCTCACACCTCAAGAAACGCCTCTGCCCTTCTCCAGTGCCAAGGGCAATGCCTCCACACAGTGCTTTTCTCCAGAGATCAGTATGCTCTCCACATGGGGACACACTGAGACACAAGGTAAGATGGGACCTGCCCAAGATCATGCAGCAAACTGACTGTGTCTCTTGTTTTGCAGGTCAGCAATGTATGCTTCTTCATCCTTTCGGCTGCCCTGCTCCACCTGAACCGGCAGTACTGCCAGCAGCGCACCGTGCCCATGTACTTCATCTCTGGCCTTCTCCTCTGCGTAGGTGGGTGCCAGTTTCAGAGATCAGGCTGCAGAGCATTCATTCACGCTACCTTTAGCTTTGGAGATGGGTTTGTAGTGGCCAAAGCAAGGAGCAAGCTGGGGTGAGGAACTGGACAGCCATATACGTGTGAAGCTGCAGCTCGTGGCTCCCGCTGGCTCTGGGTACAGAGCTTCATGCCCTGAAAAGCCGTGGGTCTGCCATTCCTGCCCTTCAGGAATGGTGTTTCTCTAAGAAATGTCTTAAATACTTCCCAGTCCAGATAGGCTTCTCCTGAGACAGAGCTGCACTGATACAAGCTGTCCTCACTCTCTGCAGGTATCTTCTCCATGTACTTCCACATGACTCTGAGTTACGTGGGACAACTCTTGGATGAGCTCTCCATCCTCTGGACGCTGGCTGTGGCATATTCGTTTTGGTACCCAAGGGCTCACTTCCCCAGGTGCATCAAAAGCAGGTATGGCTCAGTGGGAAATGAGTTTCCAGGCTGCAAGCGATGGGAAACTGCTGTTGATATGTGACCCTAAAAGCCAGCTCTCAGCATTTTGCTCTTTGGCCAGACCCTACACTACTCACTTCTGGATTCTGCACAAAACCCCTGGAAAGGGCTGTCCAGAGCTCCTGCTGCCTGGAGCTACCTGCCCTCACAAAGCTGTACAGGAAGCTTTGTACATAGGACCTCAAAAAGAAGAGATTTGGGCAAGTTTTTTTTCTTGGTGTGATTGGATGGGGACAGCTGTGTTAGGAACATGGGGACTGCTCCAGTTTGTGCACATCTTTGAAGGGACTGGAAGTCCTCCAGCCATTAAGGGAAGCAGAGAACCATCTGGGGCAGTGCAGAACTTGGGCACTTTACACATACTAGGAAATTACATGTTCCTGAGCACTGACATTGAATTACCCATGCTGTCAAACTCTGGTAGCATCCCCTGCCATTATCAGAAGGGATGGGGCTTTCCATAGGCCAAAAAAGTCCAAGATAACATCCCATGTTGCAAAGGGTGTTTGCAGAAGGGCTGGATGCAGAAGGGCTGGGTTGCAGCAGGATGGATGGAGAGATTGAGATCAGCAACAGGAGCTCAGCAGAGTTTTGTTAAGAGGATGCTCCCGTCCTGGCAGGCTTGCTGAGCCCTCCGATACAGCCCTTAACAGAGCTCGCTCCCATCCCGCTCCTCCCATGCCACGGAGGAGGTCACATGGAGTTCACTGTGGAGACGTGGCTGGGGGAGGCAGCGAGAGGGGAAGGGACTTGGGAAGGGATTTGCATGTGAAAGGCCTCTCCGAGCCCTATTGTTGCTCAGTCAGCCCGAATCCGCGCTGCTGAAGGCCCTGCCCCCGCTGCTGGGACAGCAGCTCTGCAGCCCTTCCCTCTGCACAGCTCCATGCCCGGCTCTGGCATCGCCGTGGCAGTGCACGAGTCATCCTCGGCTCTGTCCTGGACCGACCAGGGGATTTAGCAAAGCAATTTCTCGGGCAGTTCTTAAGAAACATAAAATATATCCCGGCTTTCCTGCCAGGACTTCTGCAGAGCCTGAGGACAGCTATATGCAAACAGGTTGGAGGTGCTGGAGGGTGGCTTCCTTTCTCAGGCAACAGCCAGCACCATCCTTTACCTGCTGCACTTCGAACCCTGGAGGCACTCACTCGCAATTCTGTCGTCCCTTTAGGAAGCAATTCTACTGGTTGGGTGGTGTCACCACCGTGATCACCACCTTGATGTCCTTCATCAAACCATCCATCAATGCCTATGCACTCAACTGCATCGCCTTCCACCTGCTGTACCTGACCTGGCGCGAGCTGAAAAAGTAAGGAGGAGGTTGAAAAGTTCATCTCTGCCATCTCTGCAGCTCTTTCTCCTTTGTGCGGGATTTGGGAACCAGTGTGGGGTTGAGGGGAACCCACTGGGATCCGGGGAGAAAGACGAAGGTGTGTTAGCATCTTGTAGCATCACTCTCACCCACTGAAGGTCAGAAATTCCTTTTGCAGAGCCACACTTTTCCAGTTCTTGTGCTCTGATGAATATTCTTGAGCAGAAACCCACCAGGTTTTGCCCTGTTGCATTAGCACATGCAAACAGGAACCTGCTGGCCCTTTTTCAAACTCACTTTCCTTCCATCCTTCCAACACAGCTCCCATCTCCCTCTCTCCTCACTGTTTTTTCCAGGTGCAATGACCAACGTGTTCACCGGATGGCCAAAGCCATGGTGGTGTGGTGGGTGCTGGCCATCACCAGCTGGTTAAGTGACAGATGGCTTTGCTGGCTCTGCCAGGCTATCAACTTCCCTTATTTCCACAGCTTCTGGTAAGTCTCCAGTGGAGAGGGAGGAAGCCTGGCTTAAATGTTTCAGATCTGAAGGGCCACAGAGGAGGAGGAGGGAGGGCAGGAGGGATGTGGTACTCAAACAGGGAGCAGCTGCATCTGTGCCTCCCCCTCTCCCACTTTGCTCTGTCACTGTTGATGCTGCTCCTCATCCTGGCCCCAGCCCAAGGACTCATCCTAATCACTGCTTAATATCCCTTACCTCCTCCACACCAACAAATGTGAAATTGTTCTAAAACCACTCCAGGTAAGCCTCTTCCTTTCAAGGCACTACATCTGCTCCCAGGAAGCCATACAAAGTGCAATGCCCTTTATTTTAACAACCAAATTGAAAGACAGTGATTTGCTTTAAGAAGACATTTCAGTCCCTCGCCAAACACTGTTGTAAGTGCCATACAATGTGCGCTTTCAGGTTCATCCTCCCAAGTAACTGGGATGACCAGTTCAGACACCCAGACCTTCTGTGCTATGCCAGGCAAAGTGAACTGGGTGGTTTGGGGTTTAAGTCTCCTGTGTCACCCCAACTGCCCCAAACCCAGCTCTCAGAGCTCTTCTGGGATTTCTCTGTAGGCACAAACCCTGCAGGACCCATAGATCTTGTATACACTGCAAGGTTGTATACATTTGACATTTGCCTGCCATTGCCATGCCCTCAATGGGACAACTTCAGCCACACGCAGTCACAAGGTGCAGGAGGGCTGTTAGTGTTATTCCTCTCCCACACATCTTTTTTGCTTCCTTGACAGGCACGTGCTGATAGCCGTGTCCCTCCTCTACTGCTTCCCACTGGTCATGTACTTTGACGTCACCTACGAGATGCCAGCATTCAAGCCAAAACTGGGATATTGGCCCAGTGACTCCTGGCCCATCGTGGTGCCTTACATTGCCTTGGAGGAGCCTCACAAGCAGTGCTAGAGCCAGCTGCGTCCTTCGGGCATGGGGTGTGATGCACACATGTGCATCTGCACGGGGAACACCTCAGCTGTGTGCCTGCTCCCTGGACAAGGGCGATGTGGCTGGCGGATGGGGCAGGGAGCAGCTGAGGCCCCGTGGTGCTGGGCGTGAAGGAGGGTGGGAGCCCACAAATTAGGAGACTGCCCAGGCCAACGCTGGGGAGATGAAGGTCTCCTCCTCCAGCTGATGCTCACTGAGAAGGGGACAGTGCTACTTCTGTGTCCTCTGCATTACTCAGGCTGTGGCACCTTTCGCTGACAAGGGCACAGCTGGAAAGACAGAAGCCAAGCTGGTGACAGATGGGTTTGTTGGGGCTACTCTAATTGTTATTATTAATTTTATTTATTTATGTATATGATCTTGCTCAGGAGAATTGTGCATTAAAGCTATGGACACTTACTTGCTCTTTTCTTTCCCCTGAGTGCACTGTATCCCCCATTATCTGTCAGCCACCTAGGGTGGCCAAAGTTCTTTATGGCCTGGGGAGAGAAATCCTCCTAGCTGACAGCCCAAGAGAGGTTCTGTTCTACCTCTTCTCAGTCCCTGTGGCCGTTATCCCTCTCCAGCTCTGTCGGTTCCCAGTGTGTAACTTGTAGAGTCACCTGGAGCACTGAAAGTGCCGGCTGATGGCAGAGCTGGATCATGAGATAAACATGTCAGAATCTTTGCAAGGACAAAGCAGGAGATGTGAAGCTCCAGAGAACGACCACTGCTGTGAGAGATGCTCTCCAGGTTCTCTCCATAGCACAACAGTGAAGAAGCTGCTTCTGCTGTGGATGTGCTCTGAGCCCTGCTGCATCACAGTGACGTGGAACCTGGGGCCTGGCACAGCCACTGGTAGGACAAGAGGTAATGGCCTTAAACTGCACCAGGGGAGGTTGGGGCTGTCTATTAGGAACAATTTGTTCTGAGAAAAAGTGGTCAGACATTGGAACAGGCAGCCCAGGGAAGTGGTTGGGTCACTGTCCCTGGAGGTGTTTGAGAGCTGTAGACAGGTGGCAGGGAGGATATGGTTAGTGGGCATGGTGGGATGGGTTGGGGTTGGATTGGGTGATCTTGGAGGCCTTTTCCAACCTGAATGATTCTATGATTCTCTGGGGGCACCAAGAGGTCAGTAGAGCAGCTGGAGTTGGCTCCCTGAAGTACAGCCTCAGCAAGGTGATGTCCCTCCAGGGAACTACAGGGGTTTGGGGACACTGTCAGTAAAGCAAACAGCAGAAGCCCTTTGGGGCTCATCCTGAGCAAGAAGTCAGCACACAGCTCCACCACCGTCGTGTTGTGGGCCCTCTGCAATGGTCCCCGGAGCCACTAGATGGCAAGTTTGGCTCATGAACCCTGGGCAATATTTCACCTGCATCACGTCTGGGCCGAACCCCAAAGCCTGGTCCATATCCCCCAGCACTGCACAAGGCCAGCTCTGTGCCAGCACAGCCACCATGCACGGCACAAGATGGGGACACCAGTGGCTTTTGTCTCTCTTCACCCGTCTCTTCCATCCTCCTCTTTGTCTCTCTGCATGCCATCACTCCTGCCTCTCCCCGTCACCTCGTTTTGCTCCCCCTCCTCATTTCTCTCCCCCTCTCCCTCACCCCTATCCCCAGCCCATCACATTCTTCTGCAGCCTATTAATAACTTCTGGGCAATTGCACCGGGTCCCTGCTGGGCCCGGCCCCTCGCCCGCCGCTGCCCCGCGCAGCCACTGAGCGCGACGGCAGCAAGTTCAAAAGTGCAGAGGGGCTTTCACAGCCCCGCTCCCCGTCAGGGGGTGGAGGAGGCCGCTGGCAAAGAAAGGCCGCGTTGCCAGGGAGCCTGGCACAGGAAAAGGGGGTCACCGTCACCTCCGAGGGGATGGAGGGAGATGGACGCGAGCCAGCAGCCTTTTGGGATGGGGATGCTAGGAGCCACGCAGGGACGGAGGCTGTGATATGGAAGAGGGCGAATGGACCGCCGCGGGTCTGAGAGATGATGAGGAGAAATCCCACAGCAAAATCCCCCGTGCTCTATGGTAATAAGGGAGGTGTCCCAGGCGCCTGGAGAACAATGTTGCTGCAGTTGAGTGACTGTAACAGGCCCTGATGACAGCCGGGGCCGCGTTAAAAATGCCTATTCAAGCAGATCAAGACATTGAGAGGCCTCGTGGGGATCTGAAACCCTCAGGGATTTCTGGATGAAGCCAGAAGCTGAATCCCCAGCCCTGGGAACCTGAGGGGGGGGGGGGGGCGCGCGGGGGGAAAGAGAGAGAAAAGAAAAGAAACCCACAAAGCAGCTTTAAAAGGAGTGCAGTGCCTGAGGCAGGGCCCCCTGCGCCAAGTGGGGCCGCAGTCTGAGAGCCAAGCAGCCCTGATACTGAGATGTGACTGCGGTGCTGCACCCCAAAGCTGTGCGGGGTTCCCCAAAGCACCTCCAAAAGGTCCCCAGGCTGCTGAGGACATCCCATCCCTCCCACCAGGGAGCCACGTGTCCTGCAGGCAGGGTGCAGCCAGCGCCGAGCACCTCATCAAAACGAGTTGCTGCGTTTCTGTTGCGAGCAAAACAGGGACCAGGAGGAACAAGCAGCACAATGCAGGGGTGCAAAGGTAACAGCGGTCCTTCCTCTGCCCCCAGAACCCTGGGAAGCTCTGCAGTTCCCCTGCAAAGAGACCTTTGCCATGTGTGTGCCATGCATGCACCATGCAGCCAAGGCACTCAGCAGAGTAATGCTGGAATTTGGCAGGGCAGGAAGAGTTACAAGCCCACACACTCAGGATCTGAGTTAGGAATGGTCAAAATTAAACCCTTCCTTCCCTTATTTTTGCCAGATGAGCCTTAACCCGGATAATTTTACTGATTTGGTTTGCCATGTGGCTGCCTAAACCACAAGAAAAGAAGCAAGAGAGGGAGCAGGAATGAGGAAGAGAACAGAGAGGCTGCTGCTTTCAACTGATGCCAGATTAAGAGACGTTGTGAAACAACAGCATCAGCCGAGTCTATTTGCTGCAATTGCAACACAAATGAACTAGTAATGTTGATAAGGCACCAGTCCTGCAGGATAAACAATTAACTTTTACCTGTTTTGCTGCACCAAATTGCCTCCTGCTGTTATAGATTTACCCTGCAGGATGTGGCCAGCAAGCTGGAAACTTTTCAGGGCAGAGGGATTTATCCATAAAGGACAGTGCACATTCATGGACCTGCATAAGTAATGCAAAAGTAATTAATGATAACCTCTTAACAATGCCAGGGGAAGAAACTGCTTCACTGGAGCTGTTTGCAAAAGACCTTTATTTGTATCTGTCTCAAAGAGAAAGGAAGATGGTGGTTTTGATACACAGAAAGTATGTAATAGGGGCTGGGATTTTAGTGATGCCTGGTCGTCTTTGTGATTTAAAAACCCTGTTCTGGAGCTGTGTTAAAACAATGCTAATTCAGGCTAAACTTTTCTCAGTTTCAGTCTTCAAAGTCAGCAGTCAAAAGTTGGAAAGCATGAATGCAAAGAGCTGAGAAAGTCGGGAAGGAAAGAGAGAGGCTCCAGGAAACATTACCTCTAAATTCTTGTCCTTACAACTCTAAGCACTGCTTCTGAGCTTTGACTCAGGATTTCCAGCTCGGAGGTTGGCAGCTCTGCTACATCCCCATCAGAACTGCTAGCAAAAAAGTTATTTCTTTTCTTTCCCTGTTTTACTTACATCCTTGCTATCCACTTTTTATACAAGACAACATTAACTGTCGAGCCATAATCAAATGCCAGGATCTCCACATATTAAAGGTTGTTCTGGACAGATAAAAGGGATCAGATCCTGCTTAGCTGAAAGTCCTGGTTCAGTGAATACAGTCTTGCAGCAGTCACAGTCCTGAGGTGCCCTGCCTGTGTCTCTCTGTGTTATTTCACACGGTGGCTGCACACATTATCAGGGCCAGATTTGACCAGTGAACATAGGGGAGTTGTGGCTAAAAGCTGTACTTCAATAACGTGAAGCACGGCTGTTACATGGCCAAATCAACCAGTTGGCAAAAATGATTTTAAAAGATCAAATAATGTTTTCAGCTGTTTCTATAAAGCCTCGTGCTTTGCTTCCACTTAGCAACACATTTTCACTGCTGTTTTCAGAAGAAACACAAGCAGTTCACATTTCTCTGATAAAGTGGTTCACATAACTTCAATTCTGTAGTAATGACTGCTATAAAAATACCTGAGATGAAAGGATTCGCTTTTCCCTGCCTTCACACTGAAGCTCGTGGTCTCACTTGGTTCTGTCCTTCATGTTTTCCCATTCACTTTCTACAAGCATTCAGTCCTTGGGTCCCAATTCATGAGCTGCATCGATTTAGACAGACATTCCACGAGAGACCAGGTGTCTCAGTTCACTGAAATGCATAAGCATATGTTTAATTTTAAGCACATGAATATTTCCATTGCTATCAATGGCACTCGCTTACACTTAAGGATTCATTTTGTTGAGCAGCAGCCAGAAATAGTGCCGTGTAATGCCAATAAAGTGCAAACTGCAATATTTCTCTAAGTGCTTTCTGGGACCGTTCTAAAAATTAATCGATGAAGAACTGCAACCTGAAAACACAAAAACTGATATATGTGGGATTTTATTGTTTACTGCCAAGCAGTAACATCCACCAGAGCACTGCCAAGTGAAATTAAAACCAAATCTGTGAAATGGAGCAAAAACGGCAACAAGTTAAATTTGTTCTTCGTCGCCATTCATCCTATCTGACTTAAAGATTTAGTGGTGCAACACTGAAAAACATGAATCATCTTGACAGAAAGACATACACAGAGATTAAAGGCAGGGCTTGACCCCATTTGTACCATCCCTAATGCACACTGACTCTATTCAGTCCAACCTGGAGTGGGTACTTGAAAGAGAGAACAGGATCTGCTCTGTGACACTCGGCACAGAGAACTGCCTTCAACAGGGGTAACTTTTAATGATCAAACCTGATGAAGTGTCACTAAAAACACGACTCTGCTCTCCCTTACCTTCCACAAGACTTTATCAACTGCTCTCTTATGAGGAACCGATGAAAATGTCCAGGCAGCAAGCATCCTAGCTACTTCTATTTGTTTCCATCACATTATGCACCACAAGTCCAAAAACTGCCATTGCCAGCGACCCACGCAGACCTGGGACCCCATTCCCCTATGATGGGATCATAATATAAACAGCTATATATCTGTATGCAAATGATTGCTGTTTTCAAGCTGCTCATCAGTGACCTTCTAGCACTGCCCATACGGTGCAGTAATATGTTTTCCACATATGTCAGATGTTTCGTGACACATTTCACGCATATATTTAAAATAGATTTCATAGCATACAAAAATCCGCAGGCAATGGGAGAAAACAGCCTGCATCTGCAATGTTTACATAATGCATTGCAAATTGCATGAAATGTGTCAAATTGAT